GGAGACCTGCTGAGAGAGAAACATGGAGAGGCTGTGGATCCCCCCTTTTTAATCCCCTGGAGCAGTCCCCAAATCATTGCCAGCTCGGGAGGTAATGTGGGACCATGCTTAAAGTGGCCCTGGGTGGGAGTAGCAGAGATGTTACTCCTCCCTTAGCTGCCCCTCAGGACTCCTGACGACAGGACTTTAGATTTCGTGTAGGTTATGGCATCAGGCGAGTCGTAGCACGAGGCACGATCCCTCAATCTGTTGCAAGCAGGCAGCTGTGCTACAGTAGAGCACAGCACTGCCAACTGCCTTGGATTCCTAACCCATCAAAAGGCTCAAGGCAAATCACAACAACCAGAAACATGAAAAGAAGCCGCTGCAATCTTCGAGAGAAATCAGACAGCCATGTTCAGCAAGTTCAATGGTTATTAGTAATTTATGTACAATTGCCCAAAGGCAGTGAGAAGTTAAGAGAAAGGCAGTAAACAAACACAAAAACCTAATTCCATACACATGGCAGTGAGAGGTGATGCAGTGGTAGGAAACCCTTCCATGTTACTACCGTTGCTGCTCCAGTTGCTTCTCTTTAAAGCTTCCACAACAACCACAGAAGAAGCACACTTGTTAGCATTCGCTGCCCCGGATCATAGGAACCTGCACCCAGGGCCAGCCAGGCTGGAATGTTTTTGTCCCTGGGGCCTAGCTCTACCTGGCTGATTTGGTGCTAGGTGAAGTCCATTTGTTTGTGGGGGGTGGGGGGTAGAAGGACTTGGAGGCAATCATGACAAGTGCTGTTGTGTCAGTTCTTCGAAATTAACCCACCCTCATTACTCAGTAGCCACACCCATGCAAATGCTTGTCTAACCATGAAAGATCTTAGACGCTTATCATCTGAGGGAGGGGCCACCAGGAATAGGTCTTTTCTTGCCCATCTATATGGAGCTGGCATATTGCCTAGGTCGGGGTGGTCTAATACCTGGCCCTTGTTCTGCAGCCCTCTTGCCACTCGGAGCCCCCCAGTCCAGACCCCGGAGATGGCCGTGGCGTGATTGCAGTGAGCTCTCCCAAGACTGCTGGCCTGCCTGTTCTCTCCCCAGTCCAGCATGAGAGCAGGTCGGGCTGGTGGCATCACAAGAGCTCACCCAGATGGCCTGCACGGCTCCGGCTGAGGAGCACGAAGGCACTCAGGAGCTGCGCACCTTTGCGCTCGTGAGCAGGAGGAGGCGGGGCCCGGCGGGGCGAGGTCATTGGCTGGAGCACAAGAGGCTCAGCGCGCCAAATCCAAGAAGGAAGGGGGGCCGGGGGGTCACATGGGAGGGTTTCTGGGTGGGAGGAATGGGAGAAAGGGATGCGCCACCCCAGAGGAGTGGTCATGGCGCTTGGGCTGTGGCCGGAGAAGGAGCTGCCTGGGATCTCTGCCTGGGATTTCTCTCTCATTTCTTCCTCCCTGTTTTTTGGCAGATAGTTATTTTCTTCAAACTCAGAGAGAAAAGCCAACTCTGAGGCCTCATATTGGTTTTCTCCCACATTTAATGGTTAATTAAAATATTAATTGTGTATATTAAATGAAATAAATATATTGCAAACACCTTAATTTATGATACAGAAATGTAATTCATTGTGCAGTCCTTGCATTCCACATCGAAGTCCTCATGCGGCCTTTGAAGTACAAAAGGCTGGGATGTCCTGGCCTAGCTCATTAAGACTTCAATGTGTGTACACACTTACCTGTGGATTTTGTCTAAATTGACACGTACAAGAGAGGGAGGATATCTTGAAATCAGTTGGGATATTACAGTCATTCCATAATCCTGATCTGAAAATTCCAACATCAAGGGAAGGGAAGGGAAGGGACTTAACTAAACTAGCATTTTGTGAACAGTAACATAACTTTTAATGCCTGCACTCTCAAGGTCCTTCTCACCTGCCTGCCACCAAGGGACGGGGCCATCTTAGTAGTGACTCCACAGCTCCGGAACCAATTTCCAATGGAGGTTCCTCAGGCTCCCTTTTTGCAAGTCTTCAGGGAAGTCCTGAAGCCCCACCTGTCTGTGCTGGCCTTCCCTTACCCTGAGGCCATTTGGGTTTCTTTTGGGGAAAGCCTTGTTTGTAATTATTTCAACTAGCAATAGCTGTTTGCACAGATTTTATTAAAACATGTTTTATTATTATTATTATTATTATTATTATTATTATTAGTATAACATTTCTATGCCTCCCCTTGCCGAAGCCTCGGGGCGGCTTACAACACAATAAAATACATTGAAATACAATAGAACATAATAAATTACCATTAAATACAAAAATACAAAAAATACACTGAGTTACGAACATAATAATATAAAATTAAAATTATCAGTATAAAATTAGTAAATAAATAATATAGGAGGAGAAAAGAGAAGGAAGAAGAAAGTTGCCCTGGCCAGATCATATATTTTAACTATTAAAATGATGTTTAAATAAAAAGGTCTTTACCTGGCACTGAAAAACCAGTAACGACGGTGCCAGGAGGACCTCTTTGGGGAGTGAATTCCATAGGTTGGGCGCCACCGCAGAGAAAGCCCTCCTCCAAGTACTTACTCTCCTAATTTCTTTCATGGAGGGTTCCCGGAGAAGGGACTCTCCCGCAGATCTCAAAGGACAGTCGGGCATATACGGATGTAAGCACTCGTTCAGGTAGCCAGGACCCAAGCCGTTTAGGGCTTTATAGGTCATCACCAACACCTTGAATTGGGCCCGGGCTTCAATGGGAAGTCAGTGAAGCTGACGGAGGACTGGAGTCATGTGAGCATAATGCCCCGTCCCCGTCAGCAACCTGGCAGCTCTATTTTGCACCAATTGAAGTGTTCGGACCGTCTTCAGGGGAAGCCCCACGTAAAGCGTGTTACAGAAGTCTAGGCGGGAAGTCACCAGCGCGTGTGTCACCATCGCCAGGCAGTCGTACTCCAGGTAGGGGCGCAGCTGATTAATCAGCCAAAGCTGAAGGAAGGCGCTCCTCGCCACCGCTGTCACCTGAGCTTCCAAAGAAAGCTCCGGGTCGAAGAGTACTCCTAAGCTGCGGACCTTGTCCCTAAGAGGGAGTGTTGCACCATTCAGGACCAGGTCAAAACCACCCTCTCCGAAGCCCGATCCGCCAACCAACAGGACCTCTGTCTTGTTTGGGTTGAGTTTCAGTTTATTGGCCCGAGTTCTTATATCCACGGTGTGTGGTTTTTATCTTGTACAATGCTTTAAGAAGAGTCCACCCTCAAGGGCAGTGTGGAAATAATTTTAGACAGACAGACAGACCACATAAAGACTGTGGCTAAGCCAGAGGGCAAAGTTCCCAACTCCTGCTGGTTGTGATGGAAGGGGGGGGATCCAAACTCCAGCTTTGCTGCACATTGTTCCAGCTCATGCACATCACATTAAATCATGGCTTAGTGTGACATGTGACCATGGCCACTGTTGAAACACTGACAGCACAAGGGAATGCTGTTTCAAAGAGAGAAAATGGATTTTTCACTGAAATCTCCTGGTCAAGAGGAGGAAATGAACATGCAGGCAGGGCTCATCCTAGGCTTTTGAACAGCCCTAATTAGGGCCCACTATCTTAACTCCTAATCTTTGCCTACAGCAACAACATTAGGCTGTTAGGTTGACATAAAGCTATCCCTTTGCATACTTGGCTTCCAACCCCCAGTAGATTGAGCAAAAGCTGAAAAGGCAACTTGCCAAACTCAAGAGATCAGAGAAGCTAATCAACATGTTTGCCTCTGCAGTGGGACTGTTAATTTCAGTGAGCGATATAGTAACTGATGCTTTACAATTAATTTTTGTTTCACCTGCCAAGCTTTGCTGAAGGATTTTATTTTACAAAATCTATAAGCAGAGAACATTGGCATTTCCTTTTGTACTACAGACATGAAGGAATTAAAGGATTCGAGACTGCAAAGCTTTTCATGAATACTTTAAGCAGCCTTCACCACGTAAATTCACTCGGAAGCAGACAACAAAACAGCTGCTGCAAGCTTAATGCCTGGCAATGTCAGCTATTGCCAGTCGAAATGCAGTGGGAAGGTGATGATCTGTGGCAAGGGAGGGCCTTTTCTGCAGTGGCCCCTGCCTCTGGGATGGGTTGCTATTGGGCTTCATGAGGGCCCACCACTGCAAGGCTTAGGAAGGGCCTGAAGAGGCTTTCTCCTGATGCTGGACCTGACTCATGCTCCATCACACCATCCTGAATTCCACAGAGACTGTCGCAGAACAGCAAAACCCATCCATGAGCGGCAGGGAAAATAAGCAAGGCAGTGTGCCCGCCATCCTCCCTGCCCTTCCCTTCCTGTGCTCTCTTCTTTATTTTCCCTCTGGTTGCTTCCAAGACAGCCTCAAAACTCTCTAACTCTAACCAGATACCTACTTTAGCAAGTCTGGGGCTTGGCTTTTAGTAATGGGATGGGTAGCCGAAAGAGAGATCGCTAAAGTTCAAATACCAAAGTTTATTATTTTATTTTATTTCTCTATTGTCCAATTGCCGACGGTCTCTGGGTGGTTTACAACCATCCAGTAAAACAGAATCTAAAACACACCACTTTATGAAAGAATGTAAAGAAAGTTTCCATTTATAAAAGGTTGTTTATAGTTTACCAAAAAATATAATCAATAGGAAAAGTTTGAAATTCTAAACGGGTATATATACGCACACAATAATGGAAATGAGTGCTTCTGCTTGTTTGCATGAATGGTCACAGGTAAAACAGGAATTTGGCCTTGAGAGCCAGTTCTAAACTATTGGGTAGGATTTCTACTCCCCTCTACTGAGAAAGCTCCCAGAAGAAAGCTGCAATTCAACAGAGCAGGAACAGAATCTGGCAATTAGACTACTGAAATTTGAAATTTCCCAGTGCTTTGACATGAACCTTTTTTTTTAACCAGGAAGACAGGTAAAAAAATAACATGTTTCAGAAGGTCTAATTTTGATAGATAAATGATAGGGTTAGCTCAAAGTATTATTAACAACAATAGGCATAATATGGCCAAAAATAAGCATGTTTTAGGTGCCATTGATTGCAAAAGGAATGATTTCCAGAAATATTTAACTTTCCCAATGAAATCAGCAGGATGGAAAAGTGTTCATACCCATTTTTTAAGCAAGCCTGCAATTAGAACTCATCCCTTTTATACAAAACTCATTCAGTCGTGCATAAATAAAATTAGAAATAATCCTGTAATTAAAATGTTGCTGAAAATAATATAGCAGCCTAACTCCAGTTGTGCGCTCAATACAGTGCTAGTTGTTGCCTTCACAGAAAATTGAACACATTACGTTGCCGTATAAGAGATAAAAGGGAAGGACGCAAGGTGGCCAACAAAAAGAATATATCCTCTGCTTGTTAAGCAGGACTCTGGTAGGTGTTCCCGTCAGCCCATCTGTCTGGGAATGAAGCTGGAGGACGGCCACCTTGGACAGAATGCCTCAAGTCGCACGGAGTCTACCAGGAACCAGGCCCATCTGTACATGATGTCTGAAGAGAGCACACGCACACTAGATCAGCACAATGTAGACATAACAAATCCGGCAAAGCGATATTGCTTTCTTTTGTTGCTGTTCTTTCTCACTGCCAGCTTAATATGATGGGTTATGGCACTCGTCTGTGTGGGAGCTCGAAAGAAAATCTGTCACTTGGGCTTAAATGTCAGCTCAATTTTTTTATGACTACCAGGGATATTTTTTAACTCTTTCCATGGATATCCTGCTGTATTTGTAACCCCAAACAGAATCTAGCTATTTATGAAACTATGGATGTGTTATAATTGAGCTCCATCATAGCTTTGCTGACCTATTTAATTAGTCCCAGTATGGGGGAGGAGAAAAAAATGTGGTATGCATCTTAATATGAACCCTCTGAATTTACATTTCCAAAACCAGTATAGGAACTGAAACACAAATATCCTTTAGCATTCTTACTTTTCTGAATTTTGCAATGTAATTCTCTAGTCAAACAAGCCATAAAAATGCACATATTTGGCCACACGCAAAAACCCTATATTAGTGAAAAAATCATATAAAGGTGTTTTATTAGTGGAAACTGCTTGCAAACATGAATAAATGGGATAAAGGGATGTTAAGAAGGGAAAAATGAGACATGGAAAGAAATGGAAACTGGCAGATGGTTTCTTCCTCTGCCAGTAATGCCATGAAGACTTAGAGGGTTTCTTGTCCATAGACATAAATATGTTTCAGCTATGATGGTTCCCATATCATCCAAAGATCCATATGGCACAAGAGCGGCTTATGAGTCCAAAAATCCAACTGATTCTGATCTTGCTTCCCATTTGTGGAAGATTACTGGGATGTATGAACATTCCATTATCCAAAAAAGACACGTTACTTGTGCATTGGGTATATGGCATATTGCTTTGCATCATCTGCTGCCTCACACCTCTTAGAAGAAGCCGTATCTCAGCGGTAGAGAATATGCTTTGAATGCAGAGAGTTTCAGGTCCAACCTCTACTGAAAGGGATCTCACACAGCAGGGTGAAGGAAGGCAGCTGCCATATATCCTACGGACTGACACTAATCTCTCTCAGAAGACAATTTTCAAATTCATCCTATATCCAGATATTATACTAATCTGAATTTTCTATGATATGGGTATCTTTGTCTTGGTCTGTAGCAGGGAGAACCCTTCAAAAGTAATGTGCTGGAAGGTTAATCTACATCTTTTTGTGACTATAATTTGCATATCATTTGTATTAATGATATATTGAGCAATTACCAAACTATGATTAATGGACAGGTAGCATTCTTATAATCACCTTGAAATTATAAGCCACAGGTATTAACACTTTGCATCAATGCTTGAGAAATCAGGACATATGGAAGAAATCATCATGAAGCTAGGTTTTTATTCATTTCCTTTCTGAATATTTAGTATAACTCCATTGTTTCTCTGGACAGGAGAACTAAATTTTTAGTTTTTAAAAAAGCCAAACTTCATAGGAGGGGGACAATACCTTTTATTACTATCAACCAAAACATCTCAGAATGGTGAGCAACCTCTTGAATTCCCCAATTCATGCACAATTTGATGACATTTTGGTTGGTTTTAATAAATGGAATGCACATTGTTTGTTTGCTTTCAATAGCAGGGATGCTAACATTATCTGCTAGAACCTTCTAGATTTCCTACTCCCCCTGAGCTGGGTTGAGGTCTTCTCAGTAGCTGGAAAATAGTGGATTTTCCCAGCAACACTATATGGTTCTGAGCTATCTTAAGTTGCAATGCAAAGTATCTGGAGGTCATTTAGTCCTGAATGAGTGATCAAGCTTTGGGAAAGACCAGGTCTTGATGGGGACAAAAACAACTAGAACTGGTTTGGAGCTGTCCTTGGGGGCATGGCTGTGGGAACTGTTACAACAACTGGGTTTTAATGACTGAATGAGCCAAGGTGGTTTTTAATCTTCTTCTTCTGCTTCTTCTTGGTCATGTCATAAAACCTCATTTGTGGGACTTCAGTGAGATAAGAAACTGCAATACGAAACTGTGGTTTTTACTATACTTTCGGCTTACCATGGATGGCTTCTCATGACATCCAAACCCAAGAATGCAGTTGCCACAGTTCAGGTGTTCAACTACCAGAGTCCCCTGGAAAGAGCAGTCACTATAGGAGCCTCTGCAGTCATCCAGCCTCTACCATCCATCTCCACCTCGTCACAGGTGCATCACTGCTTGCTCCATCCCTATGGGCTGCTGTCTGCTCCCATCCACCTCCCGCTTCTCTGTTTTTCTCCGGATGTCCAGTTCTTGTTTTCCTGCTATAGAGAAGCACATCAGCTCCCTCTGCACTGCTCTCCGCCTGCTGCAATTCCTACGGATGCAAAAGCATTCCCCTCCTGTCTCTAAAGTCACTGTTTCAGACACACATCTGGGCATTAAATGTTCTGCTGAAAGAACACTGTCCTTGACTCTGCCTTCCGTACTCTTCTCCAGTCATATGTCACCTACGACATACCTTGGGACTGTGAACAAGCCATGTCCTGCCATTGCCTTTCCCCCCACCACAACATCCCTGACACAATCCGTTTCCTGAAAGCCAGGCTAGTTCAGACAAGGGCTGCCTCTGGAAAGCTAGATGCAGCCAGACACCCTGGCCCATCCCTTACACAGGTGCCTGCTCTCCCAGGCAGAATGGATACTGGAGAGGATGCTGGCGCTGAGTCCCCAACACCCAGCCAATTCTCCAAAGCACTGCAGCTTCCCAGCTCCTTCTCAGCAGTCCTCCCTTGATGGAAGCGCATCAGCTCCCAGTGGAAAGCGCAGTCCTATGTTTGGACCAAAGAAGAACTGGGCACATTTATTCACCTATGAGCCAGACCAGAGGTGCAGGTGTACCTGAGGTCTACAGGCCATGGCAATCTCTTCCAATTGAGAGCATCTGAAAAAGCAGGGCTATTGATGCACCCCAGAGCAGTACAAGGATTAACTGTATGCTCTCAAGAAGAGCTCAAAGAGATTGTGATGAGCACTCTAGGGAAACCCCCAGAACCATGCCTTGCTATGGCAAACCAGTGTGGCCACTACTCATTCACTGGGACATGATACTGGGCTACACCATGGGAGTTGGGACTACCCCTTCCAAGCAGCAAAAGTGCACTCCTGTCTCATGAAGGGCACCCCTTCTCCATCTCAAGAGCCTACATCTCCTGCTCATAACTACTCCAAAAGAGCAGAGTCATATCCTGCCTGGGCAAGCACATCCAGCATTGCTCCTGATACATTGTGCACCCTCTACTCCCATCCTGGACCACCAGATGCTCTCTCTTGCAAGCAAACCTTCTGTCTTGGACTTCAGGGGCAACAGTCCACCTTCACACCCATCCTCCATGCCCCAGCAAGCATCCCACCTTGTATCAAGCACCATGACATATTTTTCCAGCCCCAGATGTCCTACTGATGGCCCCGCTGCAGGGAGACCAGGAGTTGTGCTGCATGGTGGAGAGTGTCCCAGGAAGCAGTGTGGACTACTGTTCCTAAGGAATGCACTCAGAACTGGGCCTCGGGCAGGAAGGCATGGACAATGTATCTCAACAGCCATCTGCTCTCCAGCTTCTTCTACCCCAGCAGCTGTCTCCAGAGGAGGAGCAGGCCCAGCACAGCATCACCCATCTGGAAAAAATAGTGATGCAGAGCCTCGCCAGCAGAGGAGACACCAAAGGACAGGAGAGATGAAATTAAAAGACCCCTTATTCCACACTGAAAGGGCAGATTCTGCTGAAAGAGGTAGGAGGAGGAGAAAGGTGAGGGGTGACAGAGGGCACGCTCTGAGAACGTTGTAGATCAATGAGGAAGAGGCGGGTGATGTAAACAGGGAGCAATGCACCTCGGGATTGAATTAGGTTGAATTAGGCATGGCAGAGGATGGGATATGTGCCACCAGTGAAAGTCTGGAGTGGGGGAGATGGAGACCATGCTGACATAGAACCTCTTAATGGTTTGTTGCTTAGATCATGAACTTTTTACATCAGGGTTACTTTTTTTCCAGATTTATATCCTGCCTTTTTCCTACAAAGGGCTCAAGGCAGCTTACATCATTCTCCTCCTCCATCTTATCCCCACAACAACAACCCTTATCATGCCCAAAGAGTGTCTGCCCTTCAAAATTCACCATTGGACCAACTGCACATAGGCTTTGGGTTTATTTGGGGTGGAAAAGTACCAAGCTGCTCTCAGACTATTTGTGTCATGGTGCCTCTTTTGTAACGAGGATCAGGACACACATAAAATTATATGCCCACTGAAGCCCATGTAAATTTCGATTTTGTCTCCATGCCATGAACCTATTTCAGACAATGCCAATTTCTACCTCACCCGTGAAATCCAGCACTGCAATCGCACTCGTGTCCCTGCCTCAGTGCAGAAGACATGGCTGTTTCTGGTGCCATCGGCAGCAAGGACAGCTCTGAGCACAGAGGAATTTGGATCATTGTGCTGCATCTGGCAGATCTTCCCCCACTGACACGAACACCAGAGGATCTCCGTCAAGGTGAACGGACTGCATAAAGGTGAGGAGACTGACAAAACACGTCTAGATGCAGTGTTACTAAAAGAAGCAGCGAAACAAAGGAGGGGAAAACAGAGACAATTTTTCTCTCCAATCTCTTTCACTTATGGTAGTCTTAAGTGTCACCTGCAACAATGGAAAGCAAACAGTTTTCTCAAAGTAATGTGACTTTTCAACAGAAGAGTCCCTTTAAAGCATAGATCACAAATCCAAACTAACAATGCTGCTTTACAACACTTTTCCATTTAGGGAAGACAGTGACACACAGGTTAACACAGTGGTTACCACAACAAAAGGAACTGACCTAAAAATTGAAAACACCAGCACTGGCTTGGAGTCCGGGATGGGCCTAGCCTGAATGCCACTGAGCCGGGCTTCAAATTACAAAGTACAACTCCTACCTCAGCCTTGGGTTCAGTGAATGGCCTTAAACTAATTACCCTAATTTAACTGGCACTCCTACAGGAATAGCAATGTTGTGCTCCCAGGCCTCTGATAAGGTCATATTCTTATTCTTTCTCTGAATCTCTGGGATGGCAGCTTATGAATTGCCAGAAAGGAAGTCAAAGATGCTATTGATTTGCCTGACATTTGCATATGTTCATCTATATGTGTAAGTGCAAACGTACAGATCATTTTAATGCAACTAGAAATACAAGAAGACTTACCCGGGGGGAAGAGTGTGACCCAGTTACCTGTCACCTGCCTCTTAGCCTGCTGCCCAGGTGCTGAGTGCTGAAGGACAAACACTTTTATAATGCCTTATTTTAAAAACAGATTTGGTTTCTATAACCCTTCAGATAAAGAATTTTTTCAAACCACTCTCTGGCAGCCCAAATAGAAGACTGTCTTCTGCAAAGTAGGACATAGCAGCCTCCCTAGCAAAGTTGGAGTACTCTGATTTTTTCCTTAAACTCAGTTGTGCTCCTGCCAGCATGGTAGATGGGAGATTAGAATGGGATTTGCCACTCTTCTTCCTTCCTTCCTTCCATTCATTCATCCATCCATTCATTCATTTGTTCTTTCTTTTACTTTGAACTATTCCCCCATTGTTTTCAATGGGAAAGAAATCATTCAAACCAGTGTCAGGTTCCAACACTGGGCTGGTGAGGGAGGTTGGATCTCTCCCTCCAAGACTGGAGCTCTTTCTTGGCCTGAGAGAGAGAGAGGGAGGAGGGGAGGGAGGGAGAGATGATCTTTCCTCTGGCTTCTGTGACACCTTTGCAGAGACCAAAGGACCACACGTCACACAAATGGGGCAGAAGACAAGAATCCTCATATGTATCTCCATATGAAACACAAAACACTGGACTGGAATGCATGGACTATTAATCATGCACAATGACGGGGGCATCAATTTTGTGGATCTCTTCTAGAGATGTCAAAATACCAGGAGAAATCACATATTACTTAGTTGTTTGCATTCATTTGGGCTGCGAATCAGCAGAAGTCTTGAGTTGGCTCGGGAACATCAGATAGGATCTTTATGTGTGTTATTTTCATGGCATTTCAAATGAGTTTCTTACCTTTCTACTTTTGGCAAAGGAAAATGAATATGCTTATTTCCTGATCTCTGGACAAAGATTCATTCCAGTGAGAAACAGCAGAAGCTCCTTATAGTGCTGGTCTGTTTAGCTCAGTATTGTTGATGCTGATGGGTAGCAGCTCTCAAGTGCTGCAGACAGGGAAAGTTCCTACCCATACCTGGGGATGCCAAGGATGGACGCCCAGGTGCTCTACCACTGAGCTACAAAGAGGTGTTACTGAAGAAGCCACTTCAACAAAGGACCAGAAGTGCCTAGTTCAGCTTTTCTCACTCTGGTACCTCCAAATACATTCATGCAAAGCTTTCCTTTCCTCTCTATTTGTTTAACATGGAAGGGCAGTCAGTAATTTGAGTATCTATTTACAGTATGAAAGGGTATATTCCATTCTATGACCTCAGCCTTCACCCACCCCATTCCCATCTCCTTGGGCTGCCTGACTAGACCCACTCCCTGCTGGTTCTCAGCAAGGGCATCACAAAGACTGTTCTGACGGGTCCTGTGATCAGGCCCAAACAATACGTTCTGCTGCCACCCACGCGTCTCTCTCCGCCCACCCACTCAGCAATCCACATCCTCATTTGCTCATCGTATGTCTTACGAATGGCCATATTGAATCAAAACACTGGACTGGAATCGCAATGCATGGAACAGGAGTCACATGCTCGGTCACTCCTGCCTTGTGCCCCAGTTATGCAATTATGCCAAGAGCCCAGAAGAACTGTCACAAGAGGTCAGCCAACCTCTCATGGAGCCCCAAGGCTGGGGCACAAGGGGGGAATGAACAGGCAGCCAGCTGGGCCAATGAGAAGGCAGCCAGCCAGGTGGCTAACTAAGCAGGTAGGTCAGTAGGTGGGACAGGATGCTGCCACTAGCCACAGTGAGAAGACGTGGTGGCAGCTGGAGCAAGGCTGGCCTGCACACCCTGAACTTCATTCTTGTTCTTGGGCAAAAGACAACTTTTGGAAACAGAAACCAAGGTATAACTAACCCGGTTCCTTCTGCAAGTCCAGCCCTGCCAGATCCTGGGAAGGGAGTGCGGGGCAGGAGGGAGTGCCCTCATGCAGCAAGAATGCTTCTGCACACACCCCCCCCCAGATCAATGGAGAACACTTTTCAAAGGGAGAAGAAAACCTTTGTGAAAAGCAGACTCCTGGATTTCAGCTCAGCCCTAAAAAGGAATACGAATACTAATCCTTGAACAATACCTGAAGCATCTTACGCTCGGTTTGTCACCATAGCTTGCTTCTGCAGCAACCTCTCCAGGTGTAAGTGTGAAAGACAGCAGGATTATACAATCCATCATTCCCAAAGGAAGGGGGGAATCTTTTTCTTCGTCTTCTTTTTCTGGATGCCCTACTTTGCCATATAATAGCAATAATCAGTATTGCTTTGTGATATATTCAGAACAGCTTTAGAGATTGATTAAGCTCTTCAGCTTCACATCAGGTTTAATCAAAGCTAGCAGCTGTTTATTGCTTTTGTGTACTACAAATCAATAGAGCTTATGCCTTACATATACCTTTAAAATAGTTTCTTCATACACCACAAGACCCACAAAACTGCAAGCGGCAATTAAGGCATGCAATTATGTCGTACAGAACCAGTGGAGAGTAGTTATTACCCGCCTGCTAAAAATAATGGCACCTGCTCATGTTACTCTTCAGGTGTAACAACCTTCTAGTTGCTTGTTTGTCACAAGTTCCAGGCATACTTTTAACGTGAAAAAAAAACCAAAAAGTTCTTTACAGTTTTGTACATACAAACAGACAATACTTTGGCCAGAAGCCAAAGCTTAAGTATGAACACAGAAATTAAGTATGAACTCAGACATGATCTTTTCAAGACCATCATCCTCTCCAGAGCTGTCTCCAATGGAATTACAGTGCCAGAAGCTTCCACGGAAAAAGCAATAATCTTCAGAAGAGGCAGTTCTGGGATACTTTGTTTGAACTGAAAGACCTTGTGACTGCAAAAGCCGGCAGTTAAAGATTGGCTGATTCCCTGAAACACAAGGGCTTCCATCCGTTGCACATCTGAAAACTTACAGAATAGGGGGATTGACTGGGAGGCTGCCAAGGGGCAATTTCGACATGGTAAATGTTCAATAATGTTGCTTCCGGCAAACCTCCTGTGCCTTTGAACGGCTGTGTGACAGACAGAAATTCATCAGGCATGCATGGAAATACAATGATGGGAGAAGCACCACCTATTGAATTTCTACCTGCCATGGACCCATAACTACAATGTAGATATCCCTGGTGAAAATGCTTCTCGTCTCTGGCCCTGGACTGCCACATCCATTCCTATTACCCTTAATCTTATTTCTGTTCTTCATTGCGCTAGCTTTCCCTAAAGAATGCCAGGAAAGTCAATGGGTGTCACTCTCAGGCTGCACAGACCTGCAGTGCTGCAAAAGATTATGGGATGCCTCCCTTTGACTGCACCATGTTTCATTAGTGCTGATACAGCTATGGATGCTCTGGTGCCTGAGGTGTGATTTCTAGGGATGCAAGAGTCCCGTCACCCCCTTTCTCTCCCCAGCTATCAACTCACTCAAAGAACATTGTCCATGACATGGGATGGGGCTGAATGAGGTGGATTCAACCAAATAAAATGTTCATGCTTCTCTTTGAAATCAATAGGATCTGCATTGTCAGAGAAACTGGTGGGAGGTGATTGCTCCTACTTGTGGTGCCCACCATGACTTCAGTGGGATGTGACTCCATCCCTGATATTATCCCAACCTCCTTTAAAGAGAGAAAGAGAGGGAGAGTGAATACATATTTAAGAATGTTGACGTCCACAAACCTAAGGAAAGCTTTGTATACAGCACCCTCCAGTCTCAGAGGTCTCTGTCTATCCAGTGCCCTGCTTGGATCAGGAGGAGAACAGATGCTTTTACAGCTTCCTATTCCTCTGTTTCCACAAATTTAAGCCAGACATACCTCTCAGTCTGCCTAGCTGGCAGAGGGCATGGATGGGGCTCTTGGTTCGACAGGATGCAGGTCTCCTCTTCCCTTCCCTAACCTCTTTCTGAAGAAGCTGCTGAGTCCTTTGAAGAGCTGCTGCCCAGGTCCCCTCCATGGCAGCTGCAAGCACTGCTGAGAAGACAAGATGCTTGCCAGTCTCCATCCACAAGGTCACAGCTGTAAGGATTGCTCTGCGAGAATGGGAAATAAAAATAGAATCAACTAAACAGCTACTGAACGTATTGAGTGAATTACTGAACTGATCCACTCATTTGTTTTCTGCATCCCATTGAACATGTTGTACATAAGTGCTTATAAGAGTCTGAGTTGAACAATCTGATGGCAGCCAAGCTGATACAGGCCAGATGCTGGAAAGACATGGGTTGCAGCATCTAAAAATGAGCAGCTGCAGAAGATATGGGGATACATCAGCAGTGAAGACGGCATCCCAAAATTCAGCAAGAGCATCTCTGGCAGTGCCAGCCCATGTTCCAGCAGTACAGCATATAATAACACAGCATCTCATGCAAAAAGTCAGTGATATCAAAATACGGTCCAAAGTTTCTACTGGGTATGCAAATAACTCTCACTGAATGTTTGAAATAAAAATACATTGGAGTGGATTCAGGGAGAAAATTTCAATAATTTGTTTTTTAACTCAGGAAGTAAAGGGGAGAGGGGTATGTGAGCTTCAAGTAGTTTCATAAGTCAAGTTAATATTTCTGTTGTCAATTTCTGTGCCTGGATATTCTTCTACACACTGCTAACCCCCTGAAGCCTTCTTTGAAGGAAGAAACCTAACAGCGCAAAATGTCTTTGGATGCTCTATGCTTATAATATGCAGATCAAGGCGTTCTTATTAACTCAGTTTCAGTTTCCTTCCTTCCTAGGTACAAGTGCTGGGATGTTATTTGCAAACAGCCAAGGTAATTACCATCCAGCAGGGTCCAATTGTTTTCAATTAAAAGCCTGACTGAAGTCTTTCGGTTTTAATACCATTGTGGCCATCTGCTTTCACTGAAGTTCATCACTCAACCTGTGAACAAAAGCAAAGGGCATATCCAAACCCTGTTTAATTAGGAAAACAACTTTGTTTTAATTTTGGTCCAAGTCTTCTTCTCAGGCTGATGCAAAGACCAAGAAAACCAGCAAGGTGTGGTGGATTCCATTATCACTGAGCACTGTGGAAGAGCCTTGCTTTTGGCAGAGATTTGGTTCCACTCTTTCCCTTCATGCACTGGCATTTTCTGCCTTTCCATTCCCCTTGAAGCATAATGCTTAAGAATAAACCAACAAAAAGCTTCATGTCAGATTTTCAATCCAAAGTCTGCCCAACTATGTCACCCTATCACTCTATCACTCTGAGATATTGTGGGAAAAATTCACTGGCAGGAGCCTTCCCAGATGCAGCCTCTGAAGCCAGATAAACTCACAGCTGTGATACGAGCAGACAGGAAGCCCATGCAGCACAGCGGTCTCCTTAGAGCAGGGGTCCTCAAACTTTTTGAACAGGGGGCCAGTTGAAAGGGGCCAGGGCTGGGCACGGGCCGCCAAGGCAGTGCGGGGCGGAAAGGCAGGCCATGCGTGCGGAGAGATCATTTTCTCCCAACGAGTCCAAAACATACTTGCGCACGTGTGGCGAGCTATGGCAGGCTGGATAAATGGGCATGGTGGGCCGGATCCAGCCCGCAGACCGTAGTTTGAGGACCCTTGCCTTAGAGCATCCTGGTCCGAGCCCTGACCCACAGGAGCTGAGCATGGCTGCCAGCCCTGCAAAACTCAGAGTCACCAACCTGGGCCTGAACGGGTCGTTCTTGTGGGCCCAAGGAGGGCCTGACATTTTTGAGTTTGCCCCTCCTATCAAAACTCATATCAAAAGATGTTTCTTCTTTTAAATGTCATCATCCAGCCAAACTGCATGAATGTATGTGCTACATTACGCCTAGCATTATATTTCATATTCTTAAGTTAGTCAAGCAAGCTTGGGTTGGAAAAGTACTGCAAGTGTTTACATTTTCCCCCAACATTTCCAATTTTGTCCGGAAAAAAACATTGTATCAGTGGCTTCAAGATTTCCAGGAATTTATATCCCTCTTAACCACAAGAAAACTGAGACTAGTCTCTGAGTTTTCATGCTAGTTCTGTCTTCTCTCACATTTGCTTTTAAGCTCATTTTCAGAGGCCCTTTTCCAGACACTCCAGCCTTCTGATACGGGGAGATCAGTAGGGCAGCAGTTTGCAAAGCACCAAAAAACAGAGCATTGATCTATGTGAAAACTGCATATCTGTGCATATACCACTTTAGAGTCATTTATTATAATTGAAATGAAAATGCAGCATCTCACCTAAGTGTTTAAGACTGGAAACAGGTGATGCTCACCTGTTCTTCCTTCAGATGCACACGTGGACACCCTAGGTCAGAATGTGGCTTGCTCCGCCCTAATGCTGGTTCTGCCAGACTCCAGCAAATCTCTCAGGATCTGAAAAATCTGAACCATCTCTGCATCATTGCACTAGTACAGAGGGATGCAGGTTCTGAACTATGCACTCATAAGGCAGGACCCAGTGAAAGCTACATGATCGCATGAGCTGCTGTGCAAGCTGAGCTCTGGTAGTGCTATTTAGGTTTGCAGAATGACACTGTTGGATGCAGCCTTCGGTATTGATGGTTGGTGTGCGTAGCCTCAGTGGTTGTCTTCATGGTAATGGGACTGCAGTCTGAGTGGATCTCAGGCCCTGGTAAAGTGTACCTCACAGCCCTGCCCACCTGATGCTTGGGCAAGCTTGTCAGGAAACATTTTCACAGTTTTCTAAGTGCATAGCAGGAACGTGCCATAAATCTGTAAGACTGCAAGACCACTATGAAAATTTGCTTAAGTGCTTGAAAAATAGCTGCTCCATGTATTATTCTGCCTCTAAGATATTACCCTCCTTCATGGATCACTGCCTCGTTGTGACGAAGGGGCTTGTGTAGCTCAATGAAGCTATGAGCTATGCCATGCAGGGTCACCCAAGACGGATGGGTCATAGAAGAGAGCTCTGACAAAACGTGATCCACTGGAGAAGGAAATGGCAACCTACTCCAGTAGCTTTGCCATGAAAACCCCATGGACAGTACCAACAGGCAAAAAGATATGATGCCGGAAGATGAGCCCCTCAGGTCAGAAGGTGTGCAATATGCTACTGGGGAAGAGCGGAGGGCTAGTACTAGTAGCGCCAGAAAGAATGAAGCGACTGGGTCAAAGCCGAAAGGACGCTCAGTTGCAGATGTATCTTGTGGTGAAAGGAGAGTTTGATGCTGCAAAGATCTATACTCCATAGGAACCTGGAATGTAAGATCCATGAATCAAGGCAAGCTGGATGTGGTCAAACAAGAGATGACAAGACTGAGCATCGACATCTTAGGAATCAGTGAACTAAAATGGACAGGAATGGGTGATTTTAATTCAGATGACCATCAGGTATACTACTGCGGGCAAGAATCCCTCAGAAGAAATGGAGTAGCCTTCATAGTCAATAAAAGAGTAGGAAAAGCAGTACTGGGATACAATCTCCAAAATGACAGAATGATCTCAGTTCGAATCCAAGGCAAACCATTCAACATCACAGTAGTCCAAGTCTGTGCCCCAACCACTGGTGCTGAAGAAGCTGAAGTTGACCAGTTCTATGAAGGCCTACAACACCTTCTAGAATTAACTCCAAAAAATGATGTCGTTTTCATCATGGGGGATTGGAATGCTAAAGTAAGAAGCCAAAAGATAACCGGAATAACAGGCAAGTTTGGCCTTGGAGTACAAAATGAAGCAGGGCACAGGCTGGTAGAATTTTGCCAAGAGAATACGATGGTCATAGCAAACACTCTTTTCCAACAACCCAAGAGACGACTCTACACATGGATATCACCAGACGGTCAACAGAGAAATCAGATTGACTATGTGCTCTGCAGCCAAAGATGGAGAAGCTCTATACCAGGGGCCTCAAATTCAACTTACCTGGGGGCCGCTGGAAGTAGAGTCTGGGTGAGGCTGGGCCACATCAAGTATTCCACCACCGCGGTGGTGGTGGGCCGTTCATCCCGTGGCCAGCCTGGGCACCACTGGCGCTTTGAGGGCCGCAGAGCCCCTCCCCCATGCCCCGCCTGTCCTGGCAATTGGCCCGTGGGCCACGAGTTTGAGACCCCTGCTCTATACAGTCAGTAAAAACTAGACCAGGAGCTGACTGTGGCTCAGATCATGAGCTTCTGGTTGCAAAATTTAGGCTTAAGTTGAAGAAAGTACGGAAAAGCACTAGGCTACTCAGGTATGACCTAAATCATATCCCTGATGAATATACAGTAGAGGTGACAAATAGATTTAAGGAATTAGATCTGATAGACAGAGTGCCTGAAGAACTATGGACGGAGGTTTGCAACATTGTACAAGAGGCAGCAACTAAAACCATTCCAAAGAAAAAGAAATGCAAGAAAGCAAAATGGCTGTCTGAGGAAGCTTTACAAATAGCTGAGGAAAGAAGGGAAGGCAAGGGAGAAAGATACAAACAATTGAATGCAGAATTCCAGAGAACAGCTAGAAGAGATAAGAATGACCTCTTAAATGAACAGTGCAAAGAAATAGAAGAAAACAATAGAATAGCGAGGACCAGAGATCTCTTTAAGAAAATTGGAGATATGAAGGGAACATTTCATGCAAAGATGGGCATGATAAAGGACCAAAATGGCAGGGACCTAACAGAGGCAGAAGAGATTAAGAAGAAGTGGGAAGATTACACAGAAGAACTATACAAGAAAGAGCTTAACGTCCCTGATAATCACGATGGGGTGGTCACTGACCTCGAGCCAGACATCCTGGAATGTGAAGTCAAATGGGCCTTAGGAAGTCTGAGCAACAACAAACTGGTGGGGGCGATAATATTCCAGTTGAGCTATTCAAAATCCTAAAAGACGATGCAGTAAAAGTGCTACACTCAATATGCCAGCAAATTTGGAAAACTCAGCAGTGGCCACAGGATTGGAAAAGGTCAGTTTACATCCCGATCTCAAAGAAGGGCAATGCCAAAGAATGTTCTAACTACCGCACCATTGCACTCATTTCACATGCTAGCACAGTTATGCTCCAAATCCTACAAGCTAGGCTCCAGCAGTATGTGGAACGAGAACTACCAGAAGTACAGGCAGGATTTCGAAGAGGGAAAG